TCTCATTTGGCTCCATTGATCAGCAGACAAATTAAAGGTTGCAACTCAGATTGAGCCAAGTCAGGGAACAAAAAAGAATGATCTTATGTGGTTCCTCCCCCACAAAAATACGATTCTCCACCCCCCCCCAAAAAAAATATGTACTTAGGGTGGATAAGCAAGGTTGGTTTGTTGGTCCCTCACCCTACCAAATTTGTATCACCATTTGGGGAATGCACATTTCTGAATCATTTGTGGTGCACAGATCAGCATGCTGAAGGCCATTAACCCTAACTGTGCTTGCAATAAGTGACATGGCAGAATTGCACGGTCAGTTAAAGAAATGCAGTACATCACACCCAATTCTGTAAGAAAATGGACTGTGAATGTATGGCTTACAAAGAATAGCTCCCCAAATTTAGCCGTGTTCAACAAGGAAATGTGCACAATTTCAGACAAAGGAGATTTACCGTAAGTATCTTGTATGCTGAAGACATTCTTTGAAGAGAGAAAGGAGCTGCCATATGTCCACACCAACAAAACCACAAAACCCACCACACAGAGATCAGGCTGACCACACCCAGGACACTTATATACACCCTGCCTCTTTTCAGTATCCCCTCACCTTCTTATCATGGACTGCAGTGGTGCTAAATGTACAGCTTGCAGACATTATTCTATTCCTTAAGAACCTGGGAAGCTCAGATATGGTAGACTTACAGTAGTCTCTTAAGCTACACATTCAAGAATAATCCAGGGAAAACACCTTGAGACAAACCACCAATCTGCACTTGAGTTAAACCAGGAATGCCCAACAGATACAAGAACCCAAGTCACTAGATCATCTCCTTTGAGTGATCTGTATTTCTGTGTTGCTTGTGCAAGTTCTAGAGAAGGTTTGGAGTCCCACTTCTAGACAAGAAAGTACCATTTTTCAAATAACGTTTTAGTCATTCTTCCCAACTCATCACTGGAAATGGAGGTCTTAGCCTGCCTATAGCTGCCAAACCAGGGATGGAAAAATCCAGGGAGCGACTGGATGCAGCAAAGTGACCCCAAAAATCTCTCTTCCACCATCTAGTGGTTGTCAGGAGTTTGGCAGTCTAGATATGAAGACCATAACCCTGCCTCATGAGAAGGCCAGCCCTGCTCCTAGCAAAACCAGACTCTACTGTCTTTTGCTTATGTGATGGACCTTTCAAGCTTTGTTAAGTCAATATTTCCTTTGGCTTTTACTGGAATCTTTATTTCACACTGTAGATTTAACAGATCTCATCTAATATTGTGCAAGTAACACGCACACCCTTTGAAAACAGTCCTTAATATTTTTTCTGCCTAATCTGAATGCAAAGTGCTTCTTTTCCAAAGCTAATCAGGTCATTTCCTTGGTGGGTTGTATTCTTTGAAAACAAGGAAATGTTACACTCCAAAAACTTTGATTATGAGAACACAGAGCTTTTCCTATTTGGCTATTGGCAGCCTCAGAATGGGCAGGAAATTTCCTTCTGATTCCCATAACATTGACCTTGTCCCATTTCCAGACCCTTATCCTATTTTTCCCATACTTCAATACACCAGCCAGCAACAAAACAGAATAA